AATCAATCGTAAAACAAACGATTAAACTTCGTTATCGATTTCGTATCGATTTCGAAAAGTAAATGTAATGGCAGCTAAAAGAATAAACCTATTAGTGTCTTGTAAACAGTACTCTTCATGTTATAACCCTCGTAAAATTTCACCTAGTCATTTTGTATTAACAAAAAAACTGCAGGCAGAAAATCAACAGATTCGAAGAATTTAATTAGTGATACGAAATCTGAAAAAATTCCAAACACAAAGTTCACATTACTATTAGCAATTCATTGTTTACACACAATAATGATATCACTGGTAAGCATTATTCAGATATTACTCCTTAATATGCATTAGAATTTTGTTCACAATTTGATTGATGATTGTGAATTCTGTTAACAGAAATATATTTGTTAACCATATAGCAGACATTATAAAGTAGTATTAACTACGACATGATTTAGTTACCATGCTCAAAGCAAACACGCATCGTATTACTTATGAAGATTATTTGACTAATTAATGTGGCACTTTCAGTAATGTTATACACAGTTTCTGTATATGTTCAGAAAGCCGGCAGACAAGGCTGCCAAAGTCAGTCGTTACTCATATGTTTTTTTCTCAGATACGTTACATAATAATATGTCGATTCGGTCTAAAACGATTATACTTATAATGGATAGAACTATGGTAAGGAAAGACGACCAGATGCTGCTACGCATAGCAAACTATCAGAAGAGTGTTTAGCGGTGACAAACTCGTTCGGTTTAAACTTCTGGCTGACCACGCCTCAGGGTCATCACTACCCAACCAGGGTGAAGAGAAGTGATCTGTAGCAATACATAAATCCCCAAAATAAGTAGCTCTGTAAGTCTTCAACATTGCATGCTGACCACATTAGTTTTAATGAGCTCAACTAGCTGAAGGCGCTCGGTCAAGCATCCGCACCAGATCACGAGTTGGAACGCCGTGCTCAACATCCCCTGCAATCGCTAGCGAGTCTAGATCAGCCGATCCTCGATTTATTGATAACCTATCAAATATATTTTCGAATTTCCTCGCTTCTGTCTTTTGAATTCACTTGGTGGGTACGACTCATACTAGAAGGTGTTACTGGTTAAAACGTTGTCAAACTCCAAATACCTGTGGCGTCTTCAGAAATATTTATGGCTGTACATTAGCAATTTATATAATATTCATAAATAGTTTAACTCATAATTGCTTCAACCTACACTTTATGAACAACTAACAACATACATGTTCATCAACATCATAATCATAAAGGTGAATCAAATGAAAAAGGTTTTAGAGCTTACTTTTCATTAAAATTGCGGCCTACTTTTTACTTGATAAATGGTGAATTCAACTTACTTGAGTTTGTGTTGATGCAAATAACCACATTAGACTGAATAAACATTCACTCAGTTTGTGAGCAACAACTACGACAAACTACTAGTAAACTGGAATAAAAGCTATGTAACAAGCACAGACATTACAAAAATTGACATGCGACGGAGAAAATGCTGATGATAGCTTATAAATAACGACATCCCAAATCCTCGACAACGTGTAACGTGCGCGCGACAACCCACAGTCTGACTTCTTCACCGTCCGGACTAAGCCTAATAATCCCATATGACCATGTAAAGCAATGTACTGTCATTATGCAGTTCGCAATCCTCATTTCCATAAGAATCAAGGGCCGTATATTAAATTTGTATATTCGAGAAATGGTCAAAGAAAAGCGGGTCCTCATAGTCGATTAGACGCGGGAGATAATTTGAATAGTGCCCTTCACAATTACTTCTTCGGCCCGTTGTGTGAAATGGTCCACACAGATCAAGAAGTAAGTGTCCATTTAAACCTGATATAGGTTCTGGTTGAAATGAGCCTGAAAAGTTGCGCGAGAGCCTAAGAGACGTCTGCTGTGTTTCATCGCCTTCGATTTTTCATCTTACACAAAAGCGTGCCCACTCCCTTACGTCTTTATGCAGACCAGGCCAGCGAAAGCGTTCTATTATGAGCTCGATGTTTGACCAAACACCTGGATGAGATTATGACATTATGCAACGTACTGAAGACGTTGCATCGATAATATTCCGGAACGATTGGATGATCTCTACATAACAAAATTTCCTGGCCTATTCCCACCTGTTTGGTCCGTAGTTTCACGGTTGTCGAAGATAACTCATGCTGAAAATCAGTGTCTCCTCTTTGAAGCTGTGCGAGTTTAAGAAATTCGATCCCTTGGAAACTGTTCAAGGACGTTGTACGAGACAAGGTGTCTGCAACAACATTGTTTGCCACACAAATTTGTTGTGCATCTAAAGCAAACTGTGAAATCCAGTCCAATAATCGAGACTCCCGAACGAAGTACATGTCTGAAGATCAGCTTAGATCGGAGGTGAGAGGTGTGTGGGTGGAGAAAAGAGTGAATTGTCAGCCTTCTAAAACGTGTAGAAGGTGCCGTACAGCCAAATAATTGATAGTAGTTTGATATCGAAAGTTTAGTGTCTTGCAACTGCCTCGAGAAGAATGCCAAAGGTTGTCAACTATTGTTCATTTATTGTTGTAAAAATCAACTGATTGCCGGGTCTGACTCATCTACGGTGATAGTAGTGGGTGCTTTGATGACTTGGTGTGCGAGCATAGTTGCTTAAGCGATAAGTTTCTAATTGTGAAGAATGCTCTATTCCCTTTGTCGTCTAAATTGATGAATTTCGCAATTCCGCGAAGCTGGTCGATTAAGGGTCTCATGAGAGATATGCGGTTTCCTATGGACAATAGGAAAAGATTTACCAGGCCATTAAACGTACGTAATTGCCTGACTAAAGTCAGTTCCGGATAATCCAGAAGGGCTGCCATTTTGCTTTGCAGAGGGCGGATGCTTTTATCATCAATAGTGTGTCTGAAGAAATCTAGGATGTCGGTTCGCGTTTAAAATTTTTGAATGTTTACATTAATCCCGTATTTCTGCAGTCGCTTGAAAACACGGTTCAGATTATGGACATGAGATTTTCTATCTGCACTTGCAATCATGCAGTCATCAACATACTTGTATACGAAGTTGAGACGTCGAAAACGTCATAGATGAACCTCTGGAAAGTTTGCGTAGCATTTTTCGAACCGATATGTGTAGAGTTCGAAGGACGTGATGGTAGCAACTTCAGAGACATCGCCTTCATCCTTGGGAATTCAGTTATACGCTTTAACCAGATGGATTTTTAAGAAAACAGTTGCACTTTGCAAAGCAGCAGTCAGGTCACTGATGTGTAGTAACAGCCCAAAGGCTGTTCGGTAGCCGGAAATATCGCACTGAACTTGCACTTGAGGATTTCGGTTAAATGACTATAAAGTAAACGCATCTTTTGTCGCTTTTCGTTGGTCGCTTGTAAGTTTAAGACCAGACCTTGTAGATGATCAATAATATTCTCGAGAAGAACACTTATTTCTGACTGTGTCGACATGATAGCGAACTTTTGTCATCGTGTCAGTGATGTATAACAGATATTTATGTTGTTGTAAGAAACTCTAGGGTTTCCTGAAATTTCTGGAAGACAAACCATTCTTGTTGTGGTATCAACGCCAGTCAGTTGTAACTGGTTCTTATGGTCTAGAAAAAGAACCTTTTAGCAGCACGATTCTTTGGGTAGTTTTGAAGCATTTAATATTGTGGTGACTATTAAGAAGTATTACAGAGCTCTGCGAAATCCTGTGTCATGTAACGCTTTCCTTGACAAAAAAATCCCTAGTATGGAGGACACTTGTAACCTCAAAATCCAACCAGCATGTGCAGTCAGTTCGTCTGCAACGTTATTTTGCAGCTGCTGGGGCAGCTTAGCTAAGAAGATGTATCTAAAGATCCCTAGTCAAAAGCCCATCGACCGATCATCTCCTGCACACGCATTAACATTTTTGTTGCTGAGCCATGTTGAAGTTCTATACTGTGAAACATCTCATCTAATCTTTGTCGACCGTTTGGATTTCCATGCTTAAGTATTGCTTTTTTGAGGTGTCATGATGTTCAGAAACATCGATCGTAAACATACTAGGTGCCACGATATATTAGAAGCTGTAATATACAAAGTTGCAAAAAAAACTCGCAGATAATAAAAAATTATAGCAAGCGGTGCAAACGAATTATACAGTAATATATCGGGGGACACATTTAAAGTTTATTGTTTAGAGAACCAGAACATGTTAGGCTAACCACCCAAAATGGAGTGACAATTCATTTTTCATTACATCATTAAAATTCAAACCACTCAAATCGGAAGATATGGATGGATGAGATTGAAGACATATTTTGGAGTTGTAGATTTGCTGAGAAACGTTTTATCTAAGTCGACCAGTAGTTTTGAGAGATTTATATCACGGCATACTTATTCGTGGTCTGGTGCGAATGCGTGACAGATCGCCTCCAGCTATTGTAGGTCCAATAAACTAATGAGATGAATACTGATGTCGAAGATTTACACAATTTTTTAGGGTATCTACGTACAGCTTTAATAACCACGTTGGTTGGGTCAAACTATTTTTAAATAAATAGTTGGAGTGTCAATTTTCGCATACTCAAGACGTCAATGGACCTCAGTATAAGTTCCAGATGGCTTATGCACAATTTGCGAAGAATTAGTTGGGATTATTCATACGACTAGTTTCAGCTATGTATTCTGTAGTAGAAGCAGATGGATTTTTATCATAGTCCGGATAATTTCTGCCTTATTACTTTATTTATAAAGTTAGCTGTGCACTCATTTAAGCTCAGTCATGAAGCATACTTTTGGTTGAGAATTCTAGGAATTTATGGGTAAAAGACACCTTTTCAGATGCCATTAAACCTTATTTTCATGAATATTCTGTTCTTGGAACTACCCTTCATCTAAAGTGCTTAATGACACTTCCATCTTGTACTTTCAAAAAAACTTGACCTATCCTTCGAGAACTAGAACGTCTCACACCAATTTACTAATAATTTGTTTAATTAAGAGTTTGACAAATACCTATGTTTTCATCTGAAGCTACTTGTGTTAAGATATCATTGAACAAAGAATCGCGTTAAGTCAAACTTCTGTTCCACTCAACCATTTAAGCTGTATATACATTATGGATTTGGGAGACACTTATGAAGAAAGTGATAAGTTAACGATTATGCCTCTGTAAGTATTTTACCCATTCTTACTACAGCCAAATTTTTTCCCCTAAAAGTGTGCTAGTTTAATTGATAATGTCTTTGTACATACTAGTATGTACAAAGACACAACTACTATACATAGTACTTGTTAAAGTCGTAGTTTTAAATATTTTAACCTTATTTCTGCAGGGTGCCGAATTAATGTTCACGTGATTTTTGTGACGGGGCTAAAGACTCCAAATGATGTTCAGACTATTCTTAATCACTCAAGTGCATCCACTATATTTTTTCCCTTATATTACAAGCTCCTCAGTTATCCTTATTGATCCGCTAACTTGCACTTCTGAAGTTCTATCTTCTACGCCAAGTTTTTCCTATTGCCAATGATAGTATTGGCACTTCTACGCTCATGTTTTTTCTCACAATCTCATTTAGATGTACTGAATTTATGTGACCACCACCAACTATAAGTATACAGGTATTCCTTCATTAGGGAGATGACTTATACTAACAATCATTGCATCTGACGATCCCTCAGTTTTCCAGTTGCACTGGTGCATGCAAGATGCGAAAATTATTCCGGAGTTTACTACGTTTATTATAGTAAGCGTAGTAAATTTCTAGGCCCAACTAATTATAACTAGTTGGACTTGAACGTGTTAAACGAGAAGTGCTCTGTAAGCAAAAGCTTACGAATAAATAGATCTTTAGAAGGGAAGGGGTTCTTAGAAAATCGTGTTTTTGTACAGATTATCGAGTAACCTTGAGCATTAACCGTAGAAATTGTGAGACTTCGTCGATGAAAACAAAGACATTGAAAGTTTGAAGTAAACTTAACATTAATTTTGAAAGAACGCAACCAAAACTGGGTTGATTCTTAGTTTTGTGCTACATTTACTGAAAAATTTGATGGGATCGTCCCAAAATTGATGAATTTTGTCTAAAAGTTTGGAGCTTAAAAACCTAGACCAATGCACGTGTCAGGTTTTGCTCTGTGTTTATTGAATTAGATAGCTCCACTTGTGTGAAGTAATAGCAGTAATGCGAAATATTTCATTGGTTTAACACGATGATTGTTGATTTAAAACTGTTTACTTTCGATCTGCTTGGCAGTAGGACTGTTCTTGATGCTTCCACTTCTCCATATCTAATATCTTACTTCATACCCCTTGCAGGCTTGAAGAAATATGTAGGTTTATTTGACTCATAGTCATATATAAAATTAATATTCCAGTCTCAATATCCGAGGGCAATAAATCATTGCCCTTAGTTTCACATCTAAATCACTGGTAAACGTCCTATTTATTCCGTAACCAAGATATTTATCTGATACTGTCTTTTAGCGTGAAGTCATTAACGAATTTATTTTGTAAACAAAGTATACAGCATTCATTACAGCATAAACTTGCAGTCCCATGGAGTAGTTTTTTGTGGCCTCCAAATGCCGTGGTACGGCCGAGAGTGATGAAAGTTAGCTCTCCCTCTCGAAATGCTTTCACATGGCCACGTGCATACAACCACTACCAAGGAAGTCCTGCTCACTTCCTTCTCGCGGCGGGGGTATTTTTTACGAAATTGAGAGAACGAAAAGCGAATGTCCGGCGCTTTAACCGGGTTGGTGGACACGGAGATTCCACCTAGGGAAGTTGGAAAACCCTGATTCCAAACCATTAGTGCACATGGACTCCAGTATCCTGAAGTAATAAATAGCATATGAACCAGTCGTTGGTCACCGGCTACCATAGGACTGAATCTCCTGACGTTGCTCCACTGCCTTGTGGATTAGACCTTAAGATCAAAGGCTCCGGGTGTGGCTCCTAAGAAAGCCACCTGCTTCAATTCGGGCACATGGGTAGTATCCCAGCCCTCACACAAATCGAATGATTTATGTGGCGCATATCTGTTTGGTGCCTCCTTGTACCAATCTATTGTCTCTAGCTTCCCGTCGATAAGGAGTAAGGCCGAGAAATTTCCAGCTACTCATCTGTCACCTGAATAAACCTTGTTTACCCTTCATATCTACTGGTGTCATTGCAATTTATTTTGTAACCGACTCATGACTTCTACACATGATGTATTATGTGAACACTGTAGGCTAATGATATTTGACAGTTCTCTCTAGTTTGACTTGTTTGAACCATAGATCTCTTCATTAGAAAATTACAAACTCTCCGTAAAAGCAGGGCTTAGTACTCGAGGGTATTGAACTTCCTTGGCGTCAAGTACGATTCGACAGGATCTTAATTGTTCGCATCACTATTTTTTTACTCTTATTCAGAAAGTAAAGGCAAGAGTTCAGATGACTGTGTTGGCTAAATTTTTAATAGACGTCTGAGCTAAATAACTTACTAGCTCACCGTAACATTAACATTTAAGTAAAATTAATGAGAAATAAGACTAATGTAATTGTTATTTATTGGACTCATTTAGAAAGGCTTCTGGTAAATTTCATTAGCCCTTACTTTATCCTTTAATTTACTATTTCAGTGGGGCTGGTCAAGAAGTTGGAAGGTCATGTATACTGTTAACATTTAAAGGGAAGAAGATAATTGTAAGGTGTTCCATTGTCTTTTATAAATATATGTTCACAGCTGGATTGTGGTATACATCCTGGCTTACGCAACAGAGAAAGCCTGCCATTCATTGATGCAATCCCGGATATCCAAACGACAGACCTTATTTTAATTAGTCAGTAAGTAACTTAATCTCAATGCAATATGCATAGCTTTCATCTTGATCACTGTGGAGGGCTTCCACATTTGCTTTTAAAGACTGGAGCTAAGTCAAAATGTTACATGACACACGCAACGAAAGCCATTTATCGTTATTTGCTTGCTGACTTTGTTCGTGTTAGGTGAGCTTCTAATACACTAAAGATATTCCACTGGTTAGCAATTCTGGTGGCCTACCGGATCAATTATTGTACAGTGATCGAGACATAGTAGCTAGCTTAGACCATATTGATACCATAGATTTTCACCAAGAACTTGAAGTTAACGGGATAAAGTTTTCTGCCTATCATGCTGGACATGTGTTAGGTGCAGCGATGTTTCTAATAGAAATTGCTGGTGTAAAAGTTCGTCCTCCTTTACAGATAACTTTCATAGAGTCCATCTAGATTTTATATACTGGAGATTTCAGCCGACAAGAAGATAGACATTTAATGTGTGCTGAAATTCCGCCTATACGCCCAGACGTTCTGATAACCGAAGCTACTTATGGTATCCATATCCATGACAAACGAGAAGAAAGAGAAGCTAGGTTTACTAGCTTAGTTCACGATATTGTCACTCGTGGAGGGCGCTGTTTGATTCCAGCATTCGCACTTGGCAGAGCCCAAGAATTAATGTTGATTCTTGATGAATATTGGGACAATCATCCAGAACTGCACGACATACCCATTTATTATGCCAGTCAGCTCGCACGGAAATGTATGGCAGTTTACCAAACGTATATTTATGCCATGAACGAACGAATTCGCAACCAGTTAGCAAACAACAATCCATTCTGTTTCCGACACATATCCAATTTAAAGGTAGATGAGTAGTATCAAAGCATTTTATAATTAACACTTGTCTTCGTAGAGTATTGAACATTTTGACGATTCTGGTCCATGTGTGGTTATGGCCAGTCCTGGAATGATGCAATCTGGTCTTAGTCGAGAGCTATTTGAGAATTGGTGCACAGACAAACGTAATGGAGTAATTATTGCAGGCTATTGTGTCGAGGGTACTCTGGCGAAACAAATTTTATCTCTACCGACTGAAGTACCTACAATGTCAGGTCAAATGTTACCACTGAAATGTTCAGTAGATTATATTAGTTTCTCTGCTCATACTGACTATCAACAGACGAGTGCATTTATCAGAGAATTAAAACCAAGCTATGTCGTAAGTTATGTAATATGTTAATGCAAGTATTTCATCTTCTTTACGACTTTCCTTAAAATATGTGTAATTTTAATATTAGTCATTGAACATTATGCTATTTTTTATTTAGTGGTAAACTTGTTGCTTGCTTTTTTGACAAATTATAATAACCTTTAACATTATTCCCAACTATCACAATGCTAAGAAATTAAATATGTGGTTATCAAGTTTCAGTTTTGAGACTGTCCTGATTAATCTGACTTTGGTTGCTGACTCGCTTCACATTCAGCCTCACGACTATGAACTTCGTTAAATTCTCGTTGTTCATATAATAAGTAAATTAATAACACTTTACAGTACGTTTAGTATCCAAGTGGGTTTTACACTGTAATGGTTGTGTCAAAAATATCTAAATATATTTTGGATGAAAAAGTCGCTTTTGTTGTATTTTATCTAGATGGCTTATAGGTGTTTATTTAAATTTCATAGATTAGTGAGGATTTTCAAACCATTGAAACAAATGATTTAAAATCCTGATTGACATATCTTAAAATCTACAACACCAACTCTATATGTTTCTGCATGTACTCGATGCATTCTTTATCAGTTTAATGTAGAGTTGTCAGTTGGTGTTTGATGTACTCATGTTTTCAACTACGGATTCAAACTACCATTTCTTTACAAAAACTGAGGAAACCGGTTGACACTAATACTGTTCACAAAATAGGTATAATTCACAGTGAAGGTCATGGATCGTTTCTAGTTTATCGAAATGTATAACTGTTTTTTTCATTTTTATGTTTATTCACTGTTGTTTTTATGTCGTACTTTTGTGTAGTAGTTTAAAACGCGAAGATTTAAGTAATGCAATGTCCCCCTAGGCCCTGCATTGTACTGGTCGTTTCTTTATTTCAGTGTCTTAAAACTTTCTCTTTTAGGTATTAGTACACGGAGAACAAAACGAAATGTTACGGTTATGTGGGGCTTTACAAAGGGAGTATGAAGATGATGAAACATGTAGACTGGAAATATTTACACCTAAAAACTGTGTCCCGGTTAATCTACGTTTTCGTGGTGAGAAAGTTGCTAAAATTTTGGGCAGTCTTGCCCATAGTGCTCCTAAAGAAGGTCAAACTATTTCAGGAGTACTTGTAAAGAAAAATTTCGCATATCATATTTTAACACCTGGTGAATTACCGAGTAAGTAATTTCATATTGTTTCTGTGTTAATGATCTTGTGAAAGTTAAAATTTGGAACGCATCTCGAAAGCCTCTACGGCTTTCATGTACATCCTACTGATAATATCAAGAGGTATTTACCACTCCCCTTTGAATAACCATTAACAAATAATTTATTTCTGTTTTCTCCTTGATTTATTGTTGGTGTATCATACTTTGGATATGGTTCATTAACTGACATACTTGACCTTCAGTTTTAAGTTTCAGTATGTATAATCTAATCTAGACAGCTAAATATTGCTGTTAGCTTTCACTTGAAAAGTGTGGTTTCGAATTTAGTACAGTAGTTTTATACGGTTTTTGAGATATAGTTGAACACAAGAGTAAATGTCTAAATGATTGGATTAAAAAAGAAATGTTTCTTCGCTCAACTTGTTTTTTTTTTAATTATATTTAGCATTAATTAGTGAATATGTTAGAGAAATAGTGTATCTCTTTGTGTCTACTATGTCATGTTTTCCCTATTTTTCCTTAGCATACACTGAACTAGCTACAACTGTAGTAAATCAAGTCATTTCTATTCCATTTACTGGTAGTGCTAATCTTTTGAAATTTCATTTGGCTTTACTTGCTGGTAGCGTGGAAACGGTATCTCAAAAATCAGATAATGTACAATATCGTGTATTTGATGCAATTAATATTACTTGGCGACCACAACAGATAACTATGGAAGTAAGTTATATATATAGTCAAAGTGAGTTGCAGTTTGTCAGGGATTGAAGATAGACACACTCGGGTTTATTAAATATAGCAGACCAGTTTTAAGATTTAGATTCAATTTATTAGACGAATCAAACTCCGCATAATAAGTTGCTTAGATATTCTGTACATAAATTTTTATGTTATTTTGTAAAAAAAACTACGTAGTAGTACTTCGTTGTTTAATTATGAATATTCATTCTTTACATTTCGATCTCAGTGGCAATCCAATCCTACAAGTGACATGTATGCGGATGCTGTACAGAATGTTATTTTACGTGCTGCTATGCAAGGAATGCCTCCTAGAGGTGAGTATTTTTACTATTTCTTTTGGGGTTTTTGGTACATAGGACTAATAGTATGATCTCTCGGCGTTGTATAATAAGGTTTATTTTAATTTGTGGCTTACATAATTGAATCTTAAAATCATTGATTTCAAAAGAAATCAAGTACATTTCATGTTTATCTTGAATTTCTTGTCGACTGTTTACTTAAAAGACGAATGAGTAGTAGAAACGAGACTGAAATTGAGGAACTGAGAAAACGAGATTACGTCTGAAAAGAAACATTTTCTCATTTTGCTAAAAGCTTCATGCTACCGATTATCACTCCACAGTAAACCGTGTTTAAAAAGCTCGTAGTTATCCAAATCAAAGAAATATATAGCCATAAATTTATGTTATATGGTTGAATATTCCAAGAATTTTCTTACTCTATTTAGATAATATTAAACATTAGGCTAATTAATGGGTTAAAAGTATACCATACTGATGAACTAGTCACATCTAAGATAGGGCCTTTTGAGTGTGTATCTTATTAAGGACTGTGTAAAATTGCCTTATATCTAGTTCCTAAAGTTGATAAAAATGTCTGTGCAACCAGTCTGTGAAGCTACAGGATCGTATTGGAAAGTACTTTATGTGATTCAATTCATAGTCAAAGATATTTGTGTGAATGAAGGGTATTCTCCTGCTCTAATGCTGCTGACATTAATCTCAACACATAACCCTTAATATGAACTGTTAAGATATACCTTTTAACTAATTATCTTATTCTTTACTAATCACCGATTAATTTTTAAAATGATGTGGTTTCGTTGACTTATGTATTTATTGTTGTGGAAAGGACTGTGCAACTTTTCGAATGTTCCGTTCTTTTTTCAACAAAAATCATATCTTCCTTTTTTCTTTAACTGCACTTAGGTTTACCTCATCTTATTGAGCCGAACAAAGAACAATTTCGATCTGCCCTCGAAGTAGCACTTCAAGATGCATTCGGTATTGACTGTTTAGAAGAAGAGATAATTAAGCCTGATGCTAATCATGTTATAGTGCATGTTGATTCTCATGTCGCTGAAGTGAATCTATGCGATTTAGTAAGAAATAATATAATCTTCCCATTTGTTTTATAAGCTTATTCTAGTCAATTCTTAACTCTAATATTATATCTCACTGTTCACCATACGTTGTGTTACGTTAGTTAAACGATTTACCTGTCGAAAACTCAGTCTATTGTGTACTAACTTACATTTTCCGTAGGCTGATTGATGCGATTAGTTTAAAAACACTAACTCGGCTTAAATAGGATTTAGAATCTAAAGAAATATTGATACATATTCGTCAGTTCACACTTTGTGGTATCAATGTAAATCATCTTTGCATTTCATATTGAATATATTACATTTAGTTAAATTTCACAGGTTGAAATCACGAGTCAATTGAAGCTAAACCACCATGGAAAACCTGGAAGCACTGGACGGCCGTTTCGTCCTAGTATGGGACTCCCCAGCAGTGCGTACCCACGAACCCGCTGCTGAGGAGTCCCATACTAGGACGAAACGGCCGTCCAGTGCTTCCAGGTTTTCCATGGTGGTCTAGCTTCAATTGACTCATGATTTCAACCTGTGAAATTTCCTAAAAATCTTCACAAAACTCATTTAGTTAAATGTATGTAAATCTAATTGTCCCATTATCTTCGACTGTTGTAGTTAATTCTTACTTGAGAATGACTGCTAGGTATTTTTACTGACTAGTGGCACCTAAATGTTTTCTCTTTGAAGTTCGTCTTAGTGATATTTAGTCATTCAACTGATTATGTACAGTTATCTAATAGATAATTTTCTTTCATATATCAATGTTAACTGAAGAGTTATCCGAAAAACATTAGTGATAATGAAAACAATAAACAGTTTTTTTATATTAAAACAATGTGCTTACTGCCCATTTCCAATTCTTGTAAGCTTGAAGTAATCCGTAATGGTAGGAAATGCAAATATGAATATCAGTGAGAATTAATACATAGAATATTGTTAAAATGGATGTAATTTATTTCTATCGCAAATAAGTACTAACTAGGAAATATTGAAACCCAGAGAACACTAGGTAACTCTCTTGTTCTTTTATGAGGTTCCTCAATAGTGAATACACACAAGAACCATTTGATTTAATGGTTTGTAGATAACGTATTCATCGCGCGAGCTAAAGGTTTTGGGTTCTATCTACGGTGGGGTCGTGGCTTTAGATCGTTGTGAAGTCCATACTCATACGGAATATTCGCCTGGTGCTCCTTCGTTTCCAATGGCTTCCCACCTGATGTCAGTATGTGACGAAAACTGACTTACGTATTTATGCTTTGGCATTCATTGTCAAATTTGGTTTGCAATAATTATTCACGAAAAAATATGCTTTTTGGTCATTTGTACAGCTTTTCTCTCATAAAACGTCTTCAAATTAACAAATATCTGTGACGGGAATCATTTCTCTTCATCTACTTGTTATTGATCTGATAATTAACTAGTTGGTTAATAATATTTATCTTAAACATATGCTGTACATAAGATTTAAGCCTACGTTGTTTGATGAAGTCTCTCGAGACGCTACAAATAGCACCCTCTAACACCAAGTTATGTATATGACGTAGTCTTTCAACGAAAAACAGTGGTATTCTTGTCGATCTATTTCAAACCTGTTGTATGGCAACTATGTACATCACGATTACTGTAATCAGTTATTAATATTTATGATAGAACTCATTGTAATAGGATTTTCTTTTAATATTATATTGTAGTCCGTCTCGTGTAAAACTAATCCAAGATTGGAGCATATTCTTCAAGTTATGGTCAATCGATTAAACCACTGTATTTCAGCTATGTGAATATCACTGTGAATTAATTATTTTGTAAATTATAATCTTTTCCACAGAAACTTTTTCTTGTTACAATCATTTTTTTCAAGCCTTTATGCGTAGTCGAAAAATTCAGCTAATTAGAGGGATAGTCTATGAATAAAATTAATCTGACATCTTTAGTGACTATAGTAATATGGCAATCTTATTCACATTTTTTAAAATGATTTAATTACAAATATCGCATGTGATCTAAAGCAACAAGTTTCAACAGTGAAGACTAAATGATAAGGTACTTTGTGGTTAAACCGAGTCACTCTAAAGTGTCAACACTTCTTACTGTATAGATTATTAACTACAATGATCGAGTAATAGAGCTTTCAAATCTCTGTTAGAGTCTGTCTGTGAGATGTTATTCTCACTAGATGTTTTCTATTTAGAACGTCGACTCACTTTGTAGTTCTCACTTAGACGAAGTCTTTTGTTATGTATTTCCGATTGTATACTGAACCCAATCCCTAATTCTACAGTCACATACTTCTATAAAATACTGAAGCTACTAACCATATTTTAAATTGAAAACGTGCATAGTTTAAATAATCTGTATTGTGTAGATTAAATTCCAATGGAAACCTAAATTGGAATGTAACTTGTTAAGGAAGTTTCTCTTGAATGATCAATACCTGCTCATAGGTTCAGCATAGTGAAATATAATTTAGACAAGTGACAGCACAAATCCTATTTAATATAACTGACTATAAAATATTCATTAAAACAAGTGTGGGAATATCACCTGAAATTATTTTTATGATAGAAAAAAATGGAAGAACGCATTAACAGTTAAATTAATTGGGCTTAAAATTAGCACTCCAGTAAGGTGAAAACTATAACCTTCATAATTATGTGAATATTAAGCAGTATAGTCTCTATAATGTTCAACATGTGACAGCTGATCAAACGTACAACCCGGTGTTTCATTAATTACACGTTTGTCTTCATAACAAAGAATGAATTAAAAGCACCAACTTTCAAATAAATTCGAAAGCGGTTTATGATTTGTTTAAATGGGCTTCCTCCATTAAGGTAGAAAGGTGATTAAATAATTTCCTTGACAAGCGGATGATTTACTGGCAAAATATTCTTTCCAAGGCTAAGGCACCACACTCGTAAATTATAGCTCTACAAATGTAAAGAAAATCCTTGTCTTGTGACAAGCGGGAAATCATTGAGTCTAAATTTACAACTTCGGTCAGTTTGCAGTGCATTGCCCTCCTCAGACAACACTAGTTGTTTCGTTTTCTACCCGGTCAATTCACTGATCAGTCCTATGTAGCTATCTCTTATTTCGCAGAGACAATTTTATGTTTGTTTTCTCCACCAATACCCAGCGTAGGTTAATATGCTGTGAGAAAATTTCCAGTGTTTCGAGGTTACGGCAACAATTTAATTATCGTCAATGCATCCGAACACACTGCCGGACCTCGACATTAATTACGGTGCTGCCACCAAATGTGAGCAATCCTTGAGAGACAATGGTGATCACACATCCTCACCTGAAATATGCATTAGATTTATGTAACAGAACTGCTTTCCCTAACGCGTTGTATATTCGGACTTTTACATCATCAATGCTACAGATAATCCAGATTATGAGACTGCTGTGACTGACTCAGGTATGTCGACCTGAACTCACAAAACTACTAAATGTATGAACATTTCGACTAGTTAAAAAGGTCCACAATAACAGTTCGGTACGTAAGCTTGTGAAACAGTGTGGATTCTGAAGGTGCCAAGCAAACATCGTACTTACGGGCACTAGTTCCTAAATGATTTGAGTGGCCTACCCGAAAACTCCATCAGGATTCACAAATCTATTTAGGCATACAAACTTTCTAGCGATCTAAGAATAGGTCCACTCAAATATTTTTACACCACTATCGCAGATGTTTTCAACATTGGATTTAAATGAAATGTTTATGGACCCCAGTCAATTGATTATCTCCACATCATAATTGGTAGTGTTCAAACTGGATTTCATCATCTATTTTACTTAGGTGGTAGTAGATAAAAGAAAAACTAATCAATCAACGATTTGCTTTTTATGCACACTTTACAAGACAGTAATGATATGAAGAAAACATTTAATAAGTTTACCCAAATAATTACATAATGCTAAATAATTGTACTTACAATTATATATATGTCAAGTTACAGAATCCTAATAGTTCCAGATGTGTATAGACTTACGCAGCCATGCCAAACAATTTATACACTGATAAGTAATAATGGCGTGTTTTTTGAACGACACGTTAAAAGAGATACAGTAAGAAAATAAGAAAAGACGGAAGAAAACATATTAAAATATAGGGAGCGAACAAATTATTGACTTTAATGTCAATGAGGAAACATAAAGACTGTTCGTTTATTAACCTAGAAATCATTTTGCTGAAAAAAGAAATAACAGAGTTAGGTAAATTCATACATACACTCCTTTCGGAATAAGAAACATTTAGAAGAAATTACGATACACGCGATAAAAAAGGAAAGTTCAAATAAAATCAATTTAATGAATGATTGATGGACGAGATGAGTAATGTTGCACAATCGGGAAAGAACAAGATAAGGACAGCTGCAATGATAACTATGATGGAAGTAGTAATAATTAGTCTAAGATGCCCAATATAAATGCGTATGTTCCTACTTATCAATACATACAGAGGGTCAGATATATTCAGTGATCAATAAAACTGGATTCATCTGAAAAACGAAGTTAACAGAAAGCTTTTTACTGGAATTCACTGTACATTTAAAAAACATCTCAAATAATTCAAAATACTTTACGCTACTAAACGATGTAAAGCTCTTACCATGAGCTATGAGGCGAATGCTACACGATTATATTATAACCAAATCGTTTGATTATTTATTCTCTGAAGTGGCTTACACTGAGTCACGAAACGTCGAAAAATCTAATTTTTCTACTTATTGGAATATTATATATGTTATATATATACGACAAACACACTTGACATCAATTAATGGAAGCCAGTTGTGTCAAAATTGTTTCTACAAAGGGGAGTCTTCCTATTTTTCAACGACTGGTCTTCCACCAACTGGCCAAGGTATCACCGTCGAGAAAATCTTTTGGAAAGTTCCTAAGGTTACATTCGAATATATAAATATAATTCTTTCTTCTCAAAATAAAAAAGCTCTTGCACGAAAACATTTGATTGTTTTGTTTTTTTATAAACTCTTCAATATTGATTGGAGTGTAATTAAATCATTGCTTCCTTGGTTTCCAGAATCAGTAAATGTCATCGCGAAAACACTCATTATCATTACAACGATAAAAGTCCTAATTACCAAAGATGCTTGTAAAAGACCATGATTTTCCAATCGCGATTCACACAAATATAAGACTTCGACTAAATTAGTATCACAGTTTTAAAAAAAACGATTATACTCAGATCTACAGATTGCTCAAGTAATAAATCTATTAAAGGCTACTACAAAAATTGTCAGTAATTGCTAAGTTCGTTAAACTTTTGTTCGGTACCTAGAACATTGGAAGTACAGTAACTGTCACAACAAGTAAACTAACTTAAAATAAGACGTTTTTCAAACAACTCACCTGAGTGTTTACATAATAAATTCACGAGCTAACATAAAAGTTTTATCATAATTTTTGGTTGTTACTAGAATGAGCAGAAGGTATACTCCCAATAATATTTTCTCTAGGATCCTCTTTTTGTGAAGACAAGCTCTGGTATTTAGATTGATGAGCAGGAGGAGGTTGTGGGGGAAAGAGGAGAGTTGATGCCGCACCTATTGTCGGATTTAAACTCAATCCCACTCTCCCAGTACTAGACAATGCGCGATGTTGTAGTTGGTCAATCTGTTGGCTAGATAGAGCGACAGCTGCAGACTGATGGGTAATTTGCTGGCTAAACTTATTAGAATCATGAGGAAAATTCGATGGGACGTTTGGTGCATACGGTTTTGGAAAACCATCATTAACAGAAACCATTGACTTTCCAAGTTCATTAACCTTTAGCTGAGCAGTGGGAGCTTGCTGTGAAGATTGACACTGGGGATATGATTGTCTGAAACAGTAATAAACACTTTTACATTCGTACCAGATCATTACATTTTACACTGCAATAAAAAGTAAATAGATTACTGTTATACTTCTCTCTTACGTTATAACCCAGCTATCCCTATTGCTCGATATCAATTCACTCGACAAGTCCCCAAATCAGAACATGGTTGAACAGGGAAGAGACTACATTCCAAATAACGAGGTTAGATGGAAGTAAGAAGCACAATAGGGAAAACGTTAGTATATTTATAGTTTTTACATAAGAATATTTCTAGTGTTCTCCAAGTATCGACTAGCGCTGATTGGGTAAGAATATCTTGAAATAACGAGTGTAGGTTAGTCATTGATAAACCAGTTCACCACATTCGTATTAGAACGATCGTCTTAATATGCTGAATTAAATCCATTAAAAGGCTAGTTTTTGTAAACACTTAACGACTTGAAATCAACTATAAAACGAAACATACTTTTTTATCAGCAGCATTGACCACCGATTCAGTCAAAATATCCATCTCAAAAAAGTAATTTGTAGACTATGATATTATTTAGTTTAATTATTACCTAAGCAAAAGGTAAAAACGTAGAACAAATTCCACACTATAAATACATCACCGCATTATATGCTCTATGTTTAAAATCCATCATAGTTTACATCAATTCTTCTTATCTACATCTTATCATGTTGATCCCCTTTTCTGATGTACTTACGGGGCATGGTGACTTGAAGAAACGGGGAACTGTGCTGGACCCCACGTCGAAGACTGGTGTACATAAGTATTATTTTATCTTAGTTTCATATGACGACTATAAATAACATTCTCAACGATGTACTTTACCAAAACTGGTATGCGATATGCTCAAATTATCTGACGCATTTAATAAAATATACCTTTTCATAGCTACTGGATTGATCACTGTAGATTTGCCCAGTTCTGAGTTAAGCTGTACCGCCTTGGACACTAAAATAGTGGCTACAGGATT